ACCAACGAACTAACTAACTAACTAACTAACTAACTAGCTAACTAACTAACTAACTAACTAACTAACTAACTAGCCAACTAACTAACTAACTAACTAACTAGCTAGCTAGCTAGCTAGCTAGCTTGCTAGCTAGCTAGCTAGCTAGCTAGCTCACTAACTAACTAACTAACTAACTAACTAGCTAAAGACATATATATATATACACACATATAAGCAATATTTTGAATTTAATCTTTTTTGAATTTTATTATAATGAATTGTATTTTGGAAAAATAAAATATTTCGTAAAGAATTAGTCAAATATTAATATTATGCATTCTAGAATATCTCATTAGTATCTATAAAAAATATGCACATATAATTAGTTTTTAAATATATTAGAATCTGAAAACAATATGAGAATCAAGTACATATAAATATACATATTTACAGAATATGTATTTATGTATAAACATATGCAAACAAATACACAAAGAACAAAATAACGAACTAAATAACTAAATAAACATATACACACCTCGACATGTTGAGTTCTGTTCATTGATCGAAGTGTTTATGTAAAACAAACTCACGCAAGAATAGACTAGGCATACACTGAATACGGATATGTATTGCTGTCTTTACCTTTGTCTGCCGAGCATCTATCTGTGCATTTATCCGTTTGCACATATACAGATGCATACGTGCTGGCAGAAACATTCGAGCATGCACACCCGATTTGGATGCATGTCGTCATGAGGCGCGCACGCGAGCACGCATGCACGCGCGCACGCACGCACGCACACACACCCGCACGCATGCATGCACACACGCACCCGCACACCCGCACACCCGCAGACACACACACACACACAGATGCCATCAGCCTCATCGTCGGCCTCGTCGTCGTCGACCTCATCTCGTTTCCATTGTCATTGTAGCCCTCGTCGTCGTGTCGTTGTCGTGGTGTTGACGTAATCGCTGTCTTCATGATGCGGGTCAACCTGCATCATTACCAACAGAAGCAGGCCACGATAATAAAGGAACAGTGACTTGAGGCTAGTCGCTGCTAGTTTGGCCACGAACTTGTCACGGCATCACTTCATACGTCACGGGTTTCGAAGGGAGCTTTGTAGTGCAGCACTCCACATGCCGAGCGGACCGATTGTTGCCATGGGCCTGTCCAGCTCTACCATCTCTGCCCCAAAGAAGGCCGGCCTGCCATACTGCAGAACCCATTCTAAAACGGGTTTGAGTCATTGAGAGAGATTGAGAGTATCCGAAGTTCAGTGCGCAAGCTCTATACTGTAGCCCGGAAGGGCTTGCTGCGGCTCGCGGTGCGCTGTGATTCGACGCGACCAGGGGACGACCTGGGTGTGGCTTGGCGAGTGCGAGCGCGTTGTGGCAAGGCCGTCTGGGCTCTTGCAAGGTGAAGGGCGAAGCCCCGGCCATGCCGGGCTGGGATCGAGGTCTGCCACCGGAGAGACTAGGCATGCCCTGTCATGTTAAGACGCAAGTGGAGGTGCGCAGGCGCTGGTACTCAGCTGCATCGACCCAATCACCCGGCGGGATACGTGGCCCGCTTCTTGATCGCAGCCTTTACGTTGCGGGTCTTCAGGGACACTGGCCAGAGCTGGCCAGGTCCTTCCGAGACGAGAAAAAAGTCTATAACAATAAGTCTCGCATTGTGTTTTCTGATTTTCCTGGGGCATCTTCCGATGGTCAGGCGGCTGCTGCCATTGGGAACATGAGCGGAAAGTAGCACGAAGCCAGCAAAGGATGAAGGGGCGGAGTGAGCTATGAGGCTATTCTGGGGCCTGGATCGGCCAGGACCAACGCGAACTCAACAGAACTGCACTCTTCTGTAAGAAGGCCGAGAATCCATGAACTGGCGACATGGGAAGCAGTCACAGCATGAAGCTCCAGGTTTGGACACTTTCCGATCCCTTGGAGGTGGAGCTTGGGCAAGAGCCGCTTGGTTTGAGCGCTTTGCCTCCTGACGTCGCTGCATGGCACCTGACCTAGTAACCTACAGGTCCAGGCATCTGCAAGCACCAGTTGTTGAGTGGCGCAAGGTTACAGTACAAGTACGTCATCATCCGCGGGACGCGTCGGGACAAGCTCCGCTGGGAGACCGATGGCGTCGGGAATCACCGTCGTCTCCAAGTCAGCGAGGACTCGGACGGTTGATCAGTGGGGCTAAGTGCCGGCGCAGCACGGCAGGAGATGCTCCTCAGCGGAACCTGGGATGATGGGCAGTTTGGCCATGTCCCTGGGCAGCCACCGAGACAGCACGCCAAGAGGCTGGTCCAAGACCAGGCGCTGCCGCAAGCGCGGGTGCGTTTGGATCGCACCGCTGTCTGCTGAAAGTTCTAAGCTACCGAAGAGTAGGTTTGGAGAATCTCCCCAAGTTGACTTTTCAAGTTCGCACCATTCGGACGCACAAGCGGAGGCGAGGTGGTCGTGCACAGGCAAAGTGCAGCGCATGCTCCTGGAACGTGTGAAGGACGTCCCGGGCAGCGAAACGGTCGGTGCAATCCTTCCGCCGATGGAGCGAAAGCGGCAGATCGGCAAAGGCAAGGGCCTGCTTGAAAAGACGAGAAAAGTTGGACAAAGTTTGCATTAGATTTTTTTTCGGAGAGCTCCATCACTTGCTTATTAACATATAGCTTACGATCTGGGTTTGTGACCGGGACATGAATGTGTGATGTCTAACGGGAGACGATGTGCTCAGGCAAGCAGGGTGCCTGCTACCTGGTCGACGTCGCCGGCACACCCGCAGTTCTGAAGGCAGCTGCAACTGTGCCAGAGTTCTCGGAGATCAACTGATGATGAAATGACTGATGCTTTCTTGTTCTGGGCTTTTCTCCAGGAGCTGAAGGGAGGGCGCAGCGCTTTCAAGGCAGAGCTGCGAGCGCTGCAGCTGCTGCAGGCCAGTGTGTTCCGTTCGCGAGTCACAGTGTGAGAACAGGGTGGAATAGGGTCTTGTTCTGGAGCCTGTTGGACCAATTGGGATCGCCTCCGTCGAAGGATGCATCGGCTGTGACACGAGGGGCCATTCCAGCACTGCTGGGCTTCGACACTGCGACGCAAGCAGAGCGAGAGCCCAATTTTGCAATTACTGGGCTGCAGCCTCTTCGGAAGTATTGCAGGTGTTTTCCAGTGCCTTGAAGACGAAGCGCATCTAAGGAGACAGAGAAGCGAAGAGTTCTTATGAGCTTCCTGGCCGATTTGGACTGTACTCGTACGAAACTGAACTAGTAGGAACCAGCGCACTGCCTGTCAAAGGATCGTCGTGGATAGTTTGGGAGCATGCAGGGCCAGGCGCAGTCGACATCACGCTGTCCTTCGGGGCAAGGGCCTAGACCCTAGCCAACAGATCATGGAAATCAAGCACGGAGTCTCCAGAAGGCAAGCTGACCGCAGCACGGACAGACATGCATCCAGCAACGCAGCCGGATTGCATGCTTCCGGAGCCGGTGCCGCCTCAACGTTTCATCTTGGGACTTGAGCCGTTTAGTTTAATTAAGACTGATCTCCGCATCTGCCGCCATGTCGAAAACACTGGCTCCGTGATTTGCTCGTATGCTCGGCCAGGCTGGGAAGATTGGGGGGAGAAGCCCGCGCACAGTAAGATTTGCTTCAGGTAGACGTGTCGCTGTGCCTCTCCTTCGTCCTGGCCCTTCTCTGGCAGCGAGGCCGACGAGGGCCGAAGGTTGAAGGGCTGTCCGTGGCCGTGGCCGAGGAGCTCAAACCCTGGGCTGCCTTAGGCTGTAACAGCCGAGTCTAAATTTGCACCTTGCATTAGTGCCAAATTGCCCTCACCAGGGTTTCGAAGCGTCGATTCGAGTCTTCTTGCTGGAATTCATTGAAAGGCAGCGCCAATCCTGCTTCCAAGGTGAGATTTGATCTGTGGTTTGCTTTTTAGGTTAGGGACGACGACCACTGAGTCCTCAAGTCGCGCCGAAAGGCAGTTCCATCGGCTACCGAGCAGAACTGTAATGGGTGTTTGGAAAGTTCTTTGAGGCATCGGAACGTCTTAGCACACCAGAAGGCAGAACATGGTGACTGCCGCGCATTTCTATCAAGCTTTTTTGGGTTGCAGAGCCTGGGCTCTGCCATAGCTATGCTGAAAGTGTTGTCAAACCTAAAGAAGCAGTTGTAAATTGGACCTCAATCCTGAAGGCCCGTCATGAGGTGCTGCACAAAAGCATCTGTCTCAAATCTGCCAGTTTGGAATGCGACGGTGTTGAAAGCTCGTGCTTTGACATCTTGCAGACGAGAGTCGGCAGACTCTGCTTCATAGTTCAGCGCTCAGATGTGCGACAGGCCTTGCCGTGGAAGAGACATTGTCCAGCAGACCAGCGCCCTGACATCGGCGAGATTCAGCGAGTCCGCATCTGCCCCGAAGCCCACCACCTAACCGGACCTAACCGAGGTGCCGGAGCAAGTTTTGTGGCGAGCTATCCTTGGCCTGAGAAGCCCGGCAGCAACAGCAGCAGATGCGGCCAGTGGAACCAGACTTGGGGTTTCACTAAATGCTTGGGTTTCTGTTACATTCAGAACCACAGTTTTGAGAACCCCAGAATGTCTGCGGGCATCCGTTGGATACACCTATGCAAATCGTGCAACGAGTCTGCGGGGCGGAAACCCAGGGTGGAAGATCTAGTAATCTAGTTGCTTCGGGACTTCGGGAACCAGTGTGGGCAACGCGGACACCAGTCCTTGCACAACATGTCCATTTTTTCAGATGCTTGCCGCCGTCCGTAATGAGCAGCTGCAAAGAGTCCGGCCCCACCCCACCCGCCGTACATGCATGCGACTTTGACTCGCTTAAATCGAAACATATCAATCAGTGTAGTTTAGCTGATAGCACGAGACACTGAGATAGACAGTACCTGACAGGAGGTCGTGGTTCAGGACGTAAATGCATAATCCCATGAGCGTCTCCCCGGCTGAAAACCATAAAGACTTCCCAAAAAGACGATCAGGTCACGAAAGCTCCTTGCGAGCAGCATGTGGTTGCGTAGGGAGAAGGCACCCGAGCGACAGGGGCTTTCAATCCAGCTTGAAGCCGGTCCCCTGAGCCCGACGCGAACTACTGAGAGCCTTCCTCAGTTTCCTGGTTGACCTGTGATCCTGGTCCGTGGAGCTGCACATGTGCGTTTACATGTTCGGCTCCGAGATTTTGGTATCAAGGCTCTAGTCTAGTATGTATGATGGAGTTGTCTCGTGCCGAGGATGGACGAACCAGGTGCTGCCGTCAATATTGGCCCCTCAGATAGAAGCAAGCTTACCTAGCAATCAAGGTCGCTCCTAGGATCGACCCTGTTTGTCTTGAGTGCACATAAGGTCGTTCAGGCAGCACGCAGTGTCGCCGCGGTGATGTACGCTGGTTTCACTCTGGGGCTTCATGCTGAGGGCGGAGGCTCGACCTGTTTCAGAATTCTCCATTCAAGCTTCTGGAGTATCGCATGCAGGCTGGCTCGGGGACTCGCCTGGCTCTGGCGCATGTGTCGCGGTCCATTGCGCTGTGCTGATATGGCGTGCAGCAACCCGGCTTCTGTTCCATGGGAACTAAACCAAACTCGACAGTCGAGGAGCCGGATTGCAATACCTTTTGCCAAAGGAACGGTCGTTGTGTCATTTCTTCTTCTCCCAAGAGTGTGGTACAAATATCGGGACCAACAGTTGAGGTAGAAGGGATTGGAGTTAAAGAACACGACGCACCCACGCTCGACGTGTAGAATTACGATTCGATCGGTGTCGTTGTTCAAGGTGTCGCATTCAGCGCTTTCGCGTTTGGGGTATCGGCGAGCAACGAGACCCCAATCTTTGTGTTTGTATCCGGGACACCGGGCGGCACTAAGGCGGCCTTTTCCGCCGATGAGCACCCTCCCGTCGCACATATGCCTACCGTCAGTGCCACTGTCTAGCTCCTCTCTCGCAAAATTTTCTCGCTCGCATGCTCACTAGGCCTTTCTGGACCGTGTTCACATCAAACCGTTTGTGCGACCGTACCCCAGCCCATCCGGTTTGTGCTGTCTGTCTTCTGTTGTTGTGGCCGCGTCAACACATCCACGCCGCTCTGTGTCTTTTGTGCCTCCTTGCTGCACGTTGCGCCGAGGAAGCATTGTTGCACTTCTCTTCCCAATGGCGCGGTCACCTAGCTTGGCAGGTTTCTTCGTTTGCCATCCTTCCCGCATGTGATCCCAAATCGCACCGAGATTGTGGGTCTTCCGCCTTCCATTATATTTTTGATTGATGGGCTAATGCCAGACTCGCCGTCTCGCAGTGGGGTCCGGGTTGTTGCCATCTTCCGCTAGTTCCGTAGGCTTTTTTTTCCATCTATTCCCCGCTGAAGGCTCCCAGACGAGTCCGAGGTGCGGGGTGCAACTCGCAGGTCCTTTTCTTTCCGCCCAGGCTCTTGCTGCAACCCCAGACCCCCGTCTCGCACCGAGATTGGGGGTCTGGATTGTGGCCATCTTCCTCAAGATCCTTTGCCTTCCATTCCCCTGTGCAGGGTGTGACGAATACACGTCTTTCAGCGGCATGTGCACAGAAGCTGTTGCTGCATCCCATGGTGTGCTTGAAAACGCTGAACTGGAAGCATCGATGTTCGAAATCGCAAAAAGCCTGCGGCCCAGCTTAGTTTTGCTTGCTTGCGTGCTGGTTGTTTCTTTTAGGGTTGCTACCCATATTGGTAGCGGAGCATATAGCCGGTTTGGGACTTAGGATAGGCTGCTGCTTGCTTTTTTCCTGTGAGCCCGATGGCTTCAGCTTCAGCGGAAGCAGATGGGGCACCTGATGTGCCAGAAGGCGCAGCTGCGCCAGCAGCCTCCAGCGAGGGGCCTTCGAGAGCGGCAGGGGACATTCCAGTTCCTGCGGATCCCTGGGATGAACAGGACCCCTGGCAGGGAGCTCAGAGAACAAGTCCTTCGAGAAGCTCCCCACCACAGCTTGGAGAAGGAGGAAGCTCAGCATGGAGCGTGGTCGGTGGCCCGGCTGTGCCGCCTGGAACATGGGCGCAGCCGATGGGACCGCCGGTGACCTATGGGCCTGCCTGGCCGTGGCAAGCTTCGGCAACACAGCCTTACGGGCCGATGGCAGGTGCGGCTGCGGCTGGACCTCCTCCACCTCACCTTCCTGTACCTCCTCCCGGTGTACCAGTACCACCAGGCTTCGCACCGGGGCACGTTCCGCCTCACCTTCCTTTACCTGCTCAGGGATTACCTGTTCCATGGTGGCAAGGTGCACCGCAGAGCTGGAGTTGGAACGCGCCGGCACCCTATGCTGTGCCTTTGCCTTCCCCTTTGGGAGGCCTCCGGAACGAAGGGGCACCGACAGGACCGCAAGTGAAGGCTACTACTTCGGCGCCGGCCTCTCCTGCACGATCGGCTTCACGAGCTCGACCTTACGGCGGAGCACCTGGGCCAGAGCGAGGAGATGAAGCAGAGGAGGGATCGAGTTCGGCGGCCACCTCAGATTTGAGATCTATGTTGCGGCGCCGGGCAAGGGAGAGCGAGAGACCGAAGAGCAGCATAGGTTCTGTGCGCATAGAAGAGTTTTCTGGAGACCGACGTCGCTATTTGAAGTGGAAGCGGGCGATTGAAGCGCAAGAGAAGCTTTATCGCCTGGACCCAGGCGAGCTCAGCATGCTGGTCTACCTTTCGACCAAGGCCGAAGCCCGAGATGTTCTTGATCAGGTGCCGTTGTCAGAGCTGACGGGACCCGAGGGCAGCATTGTCTTGTGGCGGCTCTTGGATGAAAGCTTTGGTGAAAGTGGGGCCGAGCAGTTCGAGAGGGCAGAGCGGGAGCTGAACACGTACAGGAGGCTCCCAGGCCAGCCGGTAGCCACCTATTTGGCGGCTATGCGGCGACTTCGTCCCAGTAAGTACACTAGGATCGACCCGGAGACCTTCATCTCGGACCGTGCCTGGGCCCAGCGACTTTTAAGCAGAGCCTCTTTGACCAAGCGGGAGCGGCTGGATGTTTACTACTCGGCGGGCGGCTCCTACACCACGGCCGGTATAGAGGCAGCCCTCAGGCACCGTTGCGCCCAGGTCCACGAGGATGAGAGAAAGGTGCCGACCTCGCCGTCTTCACGAAGCCCCTGGTCTACGGCATCTTCTTCGCGATCGTCGGGGGCCTCGACTACCTCTACGGCCGGTTCTCGCAAGTTTCCATT